AGCCTAGTGAGGCAGAATTTACAGTAAAGGAAAATCCTTTAATATACTGAATTGTGTGTATATTATGTTTGAGTCTGGCTGATATAATCCAGCCTCCTAGAGACTCAGAATGCTGGCTTGTCCGTGGTTATCTAGCTGTCTCTCCTAAAACCTGGCCCCCCCCCCGTGGGCTTTAAAGTACTGCATACCCCACCCCATACTGCCGCACCCAGTGGACCCACTGATTTCTTCAAGGGAAACACACACATGCACACACAAGATTGCTACTGCTTCACGGGTTGGGGGGTACTGAAAAGGGGAAAAATATTTTTAGGTATGTAAAAAGTTACATGCCCTGGGGAATTCTCATAGTGTGTTGTAGAATATTATTTTACACTGTGTGACGCTATGTCACTGTGTTGGCTTAATAAATAGCTGAATGGCCAATAGCTAGGCAGAAATATGTTAGTCAGGACTTCTGGGGCCAGAGAGGACTCTGAGAGGAAGAAAGATGGAGTTGGAGGCAGAAGAAGCAGGTATACAGGAGGAGAGGTAAAAACCACAAGCCACATGGCAGCATGTAGATTAACAGAAATGGGTTAGTAAATTTGAGTAATAAGAGCTAATTAGCAACAAGCCTAAGCTAAGGCCAAGAGTTCATAATTAATAAGTCTCCGTGTCATTATTTGGGAGCTGGCAGCACTGAGAAAGACTTGCTACAATAGCATTTTCTGCTTTCTATGCCCATTATTACAAATAATTTACTTCAGCCAAGAAAAAAAAAAGGTGTGAGTTTGGAGAAGAGGTGTGTGTCTTAGCCAATGAATGAACAGAAACCTATAAACTGATTCTTCCACACTAGGCAGAAAAGAGGAACTGCCATTTTGACACAGGACTCCCGGCAGGAGGGTCTTATCCATTGACGGTCCAGGTTCTCGCAGTACTGTTAGCACATACAAAACTTTGGGATAATATTTGTCAGAGGAAAGGATTCATTTTGCTAATGAGGTTCTATACCTCAGGAAGTATGTCAGCCTTTACATTGTCACAGGCAAATTCAGAAAAACACCATAGCTAAAATCAGCACAGTGTTTATGCCCAAAGTTCCTCTCAACTGAGAATACTTCTGGGAGAAAAGTCAGACTCTGTGCTTGGTGATGGAAATACGACGTTGCACGGAAAGATGAGGTTTCACTTGTAATAACAGACCGATAACTCTAAGTGGGAGACAGCTTAAAAATCCTTTCATTCATCTTGTGGAGAATATTTTACAACCTTGATCAAACCTAATCCATTTCCAGCGTACAATGCATACGGTCCACTGTTTGCCCTCACAAAAGGTCCCTCTTTTGCATGCCAAATGGAAAATGTAGATTTCACAGAGGAAGTGAACTCCTGTGTTATATGAATTGATTGTACCAAAGAGGGTAGGAGGTGCGTTCATGAACTGGTGTTAAAAATGATGTAAGGCGGGGAGGAAGGAAGGCTTGCCTCCCACTCTCTTCCTTACAATTGTCCCATTTCCTCATGGTTTAGCCATTACTCATGTCATGTTTTGTCATTAACCTAAATAAAATAATGGGACTTCGATCCCATTTGCTATATAAAATAATGAACTCATGATGAACTAATGAAGGATGGCTGCCATAAAGAATTATTAAAATAGTAATAACAACAAAAGCAATAGGCTTGAAGTTTAATTTATATGTATCATTGATTTGGAGAGAACACATGCCAGCAGCATCTCTTCTGTTCACATCTTGGATTTATATAGACTGATTCATTCTTTAAGAACCCATGGGTGCCTGCAATACAGGTGGGAATAAAGCAGTCCTTGCCTCGCTTGGGCATTTATTTTAATGAGAAAAGCCAAGCAGTAAGCACACAAATGATTAACTACAAGGTAGATCAGAATGTAATCAGACACAGGAAGGACAAGCAGAGAAATAGAAAGGAGGTAGGGGTGTGTTTTATGGAGGCTTTGAGCATAGACCCAGGAAAAGAGGGAAGAAATCTCGTCGATCCTTTGAGGGACGGTAGCGTGGTACTGAGCCAGAGTACAACAGCCCTATCACTTGCACACTGAGCAACACAGAGTCAGGGCATCAGGAGTGAAGTAGACGCTGTTAAGAGTAAGAGGGAGTTGAGCATGGTGAGGCACTGATATACATCTCTAGTCCTAGCACTCAGGAGGCTGAAGCAAGAGGATTGCAAGTTCAAAGACAGCCTGGGCTACTGAGCAAGACTGTTAAATAAATAAATAGAAGAGGTGAGAGAGGTAACACCATGGGGATGATCCCGAGAAAACGTCCCTGGGAGGGTTCGAGAATCATTTGTGATCTGGTCATCACCGTTACAGGGAACCATCTAGCTGCTACCCTGGAAAGCAACGCAGCAATGTGAGAAACGCTGCAACTTTTCATTGTGCTGATCCTAGCCAGAGAGGTTGATGACTTAGACCAGGACGTTGGAGATGCTGCTGGAGATAAAGAAGCAGCCGCAGAGCAACATGTGTTTGTGAAGGTGAAACTAACCTGACTCGCAGGTAAATAGGCTATGGTGTTTGAGAAGTGAGCAGAATTCAAGCTTTTCAAACAATCTGACAGATATTGATGCCTGGGGAAGGGGAAAAAAAGACGTGGATATACTTGAGTTAGTGAGACAGGAGAAGGATCAGTTTGGTTTTAGAGTGTTCTTTAAGTCGTGGGCATTGAACTTAGGGTTTCACATAGGTTAGGCAAGCACTCCCCCACTACACTACATCCCCAGCCCTAGTAATAAATTTAAAATGTTTAAATGTATTAATTCTCTTACATTGGATAGATGAGAATAGAGTTCAAAGGGGAGGTTAAGGTGAGAGTCTCTGCTACAGTGTCAGTCTCTGGGACTCCAAAAGACCACCAAAGGACAAGTATGGATGGAGAGGCACAGAGTTTGGGTGTGCTGAGTCTTAGAAGAGCCAACACTGAAAATGGTTGGGTTGTGTTTATCCATCCAGATGCTTAGAATCGTCACCCAACTAAAATGGCTGTGCCTTTGTCCTCCGTGACAACCGCCTGCACTCCTCACTAGACACCTTCTTCCAGTGGGTCCCCATAAATACTTGATGGCTGAAAGAGAGAGACAATGTGGTGGGGGATTCACCAAGATCAAGGCCAAGGCAGGAAAGACCGGAGGGCCACACCTGGTACCTTTCTCCAGTGCCTGTCTATCACTGTTCTATCTTTTTTAAGGAAAGTTTTGGAGGAGAATGGGCTTTACAGCTCACCAGATTCAGGGATCTTACTTTCCGAGGGGAAGCCTGGAGTTCTAAGTAGGATTATCACTTGAGGCTAGAAAATGGGCAGGGGAGTGATTAAACCCCCTCAGACCTCAAGACTTTTATTACATGGCTTTTTATGACTTGTTTCTGTCCCTTGGCATGTAATCAAGGACTATGTCTGTTGTGATATGCCTTGGTCTATATTCCGCATGGCTGAACATTCCATTATACACATGTACTGCTTTTAAGATCTAGCCATGTGCAGAGGCCCTCTGAAATGCTTGAATAATGCCGCAATGAACTTTTACATGTTTTTGTGTGAACAGACATTTTCAGTTCTAGTGAACTTAAGCTTACGAGTGGAGGTGTTAGAGCCAACAGCTGCGCAGCTTAACTTTGTGAAGGACTTTCAGACTGTGTCTCCCATGCTCACGACGCTCCCACTAGTGTGGAGGGTTTTAGACTTCCCCACATTTTGGCTAACACTATTTTTGGTTTTCTTTTTCTTATTCTTGTCTCCTTGGTGACTATAAAGTAGCGCATCCTTTAGATTTTCATTAGATTTCCCAGATATATAAGAGTGTTGGGACATTTTGATGTGTTTATTGACTGCGTGTGTGTGTGTGTGTGTGTGTGCGCGCGCGCATGTATGTATGTGTGTGTGCGCATGTATGTATGCACGTGTGCATGTATTTGTGCATGCATGTATGCGTGTGCATGTATGCATGTGTGTTTGCATGTATGTGTGTGCTTGTGTGCATGTATGTGTGTGTGCATGTGTGTGTGTGTGTGTGTGTGTGTGCGCGTGTGTGTGTTCATTACTTCCTCACAGCAAATAGACTGCTTGAGATCCCTTTCCTATCATTTGGTTGTGCTTTATTTTTAACATCAGGTCAAACAGTTTTTAGACTTCTTCATAACACAAAGATCTTAAAAGAGTCAAATACTCCATCCTACTATTTGATAGCCAGCACTTCATCCCAACTTTGTTTCTCAGACTTTAAAGATCGCCATTGTTAAGTTTTCACTAAGCCAGTGCTGACTTTAAACACTCGCAAGGACAATTTCTATCGCTTTCTGCTACACTCTGAACCTCACTCTTGCCTTCTGGAACATGGTTTTCTTCTTCCCGAAGGTAAACTAAAATATTTGAAAACAAAAGATAAAAAGAACTTATGTGAGGCTCCATGGTGCACATCTTTAATCCCAGAACTCAGGAGATAGAGGCAGATGGATCTTTGTGAGCACCAGGCCAGCCAGAGCTACCTACCCTGGCTCAAAAAAAAAAAACAAAAACAAAAAAAAAAAAAAAACTTACAAGAACTAAGTTTCCTTTTTTAAAAAATAATATCTCTGCTTTCATTCTTGAATGATACTTTCTTTTGTATAAAGTTTTACTAACAGTTCCTTGGCTTTAGTATTTCGCAATCGTAATCCTTGGCTTCATGCTCCTTGTTTTGCTGTTATTAATCTAATACTTATGCAGCTTGGTGATTTATCTTTCTTCTCTGGACACATTTATGACCCTGTGTTCATGTGTTGTCTCTGATATTCTACTTCATTCCTGTATCTGAATAACATTTTTATCCATTCTGCTCATGTCATGTCTCTTAAATATTAATTCCCCCCTTTTTTGAGACAATATCTCTCTACCTAATCCTGGCTGACCTGGAACTCACTATGTAGACCAGGCTGGCCTCAAACTCACAGAGATTTATCTGCCTCTGCCTCCTAGGATTAAAGGCGTGTGTCATCATGCTAAGCTAAAAATCACATTTTTAATCAATTTGGAAACATTCTCAGACACTTCCTTCTCAAATTTAATGTATTCCACAGTTGTCTCTCTTTCTGGCCTCCTGGCACCTACCCCCTATCTTTCTTTCCCTCTCCACTAATTTGCATATTGTTTGTCTTCTTGCTGTCTGTCCTTTCACACCGCTCTCCGTTGGTGTCATTTTCCTGGTCCTATTCTGCTATTGCTTGTCAGATCCTGTGCTAGCTGCCAGGCCACAATCTCTATTTTTACTATCTCTAATTGACCTTCTTTTCTTTTTAAAGAAGTTGTTGCAGGGCTGTGGTGGCACACACCTTTAATCCCAGCACTCGGGAAGCAGAGACAGGCAGATCTCTATGAATTTGAGGCCAGTCTAGTCTACAGAGTGACTTCCAGGACCGGCTCCAAAGCTACAGAGAAACCCTGCCTCGAAACCTGCCACCCCCAAGAAAAAAGAAGTTGCATTTGGTTCCATAAAACTTGCCTGGTCTTGGACTGGCAGTTTAGCTCAGTTGGTCAAATACTTGCCTACCATGCACTAAGTCATGGGTTCAATCCCTAGCACTGCACAAATCAGCTGTTCTGGTACAAACCAGTAATCCCAGCCCTCTAGAGGTAGAGGCAGGAGTATCTAGACTGCAGTCCTCCACAGCTATCTAGTGAGTTCAAGGTCAATCTGAGACGCCTGAGACTCCAGTTTCTCAGTCCTTCTCCACCCCTCCCTGAAAAGCAAAGCCTGCCTTCTCTTTTCCTGACCAGTGTATTCTTTTTAAGTTTTAATTCTGTCTATGGCTTTGGTCCTTGTAAACATTTTCATGGTGTTTTCTTTCAGGTTTTCCTTCTGTCGTCTCAGGTCCAGTGTGGAGGATTTTTGAGTGTGTAGCTTGGAGCAGACTGCTTCCCCGTGAATTCTGTTACAAATGTCTCATCTTCAGCTCTGACAGCGTCTTCCGAGTGACATTTGCTCATGCCAGACAGGAGTATCAACAGCTTAAACTGATGTTCATGGTGTTGTAGTTTTCATCTAGAAAGACCAGTAAAGACTGAACCAGTAGCAATGACCCAATACAGCATGTTTGCTCCAGAAAGCCGAGACACCACCACCCCCCGCCATACACACACACACACACTAAACTCCTGTGTACACTGCTCCTGTGTACAGTTCACCCAGCCACCCCCCGCCTCATAAGGAAAAAGGGGTTCCATTCCAGTTTTCCCTCACAGGGATTCAACTCCTCCTTTTAGACTAGGTCACTAATGGAATACAGGTCTGAAGTTAGCAACATCCCAACCGTCCCTCAGACCTTCTTCATTCTGACCAAGCTCTTCTGAATGCTCATCAATCGACCTTGCCAAAGCTTCCATTAAATCTAAATGTTCAGTTTAAATAAAAGACTGGAAGTGAAGCTCCTTTTTGATAGTTCTCAAACACACTCATCCTGCCATTGTGCCGTCTGCTCTTCCATTCCAATAGAAACAATCGATCACAGGATTCGCAGTTACAGGGAACTGTAAGACAATGCTTGCCCCCGGATGACACTTGATTCACTGCCTTGAAAGGCAAAACTGGAAAGACGTAACTGATGTAGGGTTTGAAGCACGTGTGTCTTCTTTTGCCTAGGCCTCCTGCCAGCTTGTTAAAACCTTCCAGATGTGTAGCCATTACCTGTCTATGCATGGGAAAATAGGCAGGAGCAAGAGGCAGTGGAAAAGAAGATACAACATGCATTTGTCATAGTGAGTAAAACTGAAGGTACAAGTGTCCAGGGCAAAGGTCAGGACAGCATTTAAAACCTTCAGCCAAACACAAATGGGGCTTCTGGAACCTGGAAAGACAGAGGGGGTCTCGTTGTAGGCCTGTAAGAACTGTGTATCTGCGGATAAACTGGAACCAACCGGTGTGCACTGCTCTCATCCAGGAAGAAAACTCCTAGGGCAAAACGTTTTATAAATCCAAAAGCAGGACAAAAGGAAATCTAGTACCAAGCCGTGCAGAGACATGGTGGAACTTTAAGTGTGCGTCCAAAGGCTCGAGAAGATAAACTGAAACCAGCCCATACTCTATGACCCAACACTGAGACATTTTGGAGTTAAAAGCAGGAGGTGGGGCGGGGGATGGGAAAACTATGAATGGGAGCTACATAGGGAGAATGTCCTTGATTCACAGGGTAGCAGAGATGGAGAACACTGAGAAGTTCTAAGTCAATGAGAACATTCTTCCCACAGTACTAATAGCGAATGCGGGGCATGGTACACGTGACCAAACCATTCAAACAGACAGCACTAAGTGGACAAGCCAGTGGGATATGGTGGCACATGCCCGTAATTCCAGCACTCAGAAGGCAGAGGCAGAAAGATCACTGTAAATTTGATGTCAGCCTGTCTACACAGCAAGGATAGCTAGGGCTACATACTGAGGTCCTGTCTAAAGAATAATAATTATAAGTAGTCCCCAGCATAAACTTGGGTTGTAGTTAATAGAACTATTAATTATAATACCAATTGTAGTTAACAATAAACTATAGACTATAAATGATTATATATTTGTTGAAGGAAGAGCAGGCTGCTTGTTCTTCCTGGCCACCCGGCTAGCTTAACTCCCAAAATAATCACACAGAAACTGGATTCATTTAAACACTGCCTGGCCCATTAGTTCTAGCTTCTTATTGGCTAAGTCTTACATCTTGATTCAACCCATTTCTAATAATCTGTATGTCACCACAAGGTTGTGGCTTACCGGGAAAGATTCAGCATGTCTGACCTGGCGTCTCCATGGCGACTCTCTCTCTCTTTCTCTCTCTCTCTCTCTCTCTCTCTCTCTCTCTCTCCCTCTCTCTGCTTTCTTCCTCCCAGAATTCTGTTCTGTCTACTCCACCTACCTAAGTTCTGCCCTATCAAAAGGCCAAGGCAGTTTCTTTATTCAACCAATGAAAGCAACACATAGACAGAAGGACCTCCTACACCATATATTTACTCATCAGTCATAGCAAACCTCTTGTGATGGTTCATTTCAGTTGTCTGCTGGCCACAATCTAGAGTCACCTGGAAAAAGAAATCAGTGAGGGGTTGTCTAGACATTAAGTGATACAGGAGGACCCATCCCACTGTGGGTGTCACCATCTCCTGGGTTTGGGATTCTGAACCATGCAAGAGTGGAGAAATCATGCCAAACACTATGAATAAGCTTGTATTCATTCCTCTCTTGACTGTGGATGGGACTCCAAGTTCCTGTCTGAACTGTAACCGGGAACTGTGAGCTAAAATAAATCCGTTCTCTCCTAAACTGCTTTCCGTCAGAGTATTTTATCAGAGAAACAGAAAGAAAACTAGGACCGGACTCTAACAGATATTACCAGAGAACACGGGAGCTTATGGGAGCTCTTTAAGCTGTTTTCCTATAAACAGAAATGACCTTTGAAAAAAAGTTATGTCTGTGAATGTGAAAAACAGGGAATGAACAAACCCCAAGCCATGTACTATTGGAAGATGTAGGGGAATGTGGAACAGTAGTGGTATTGGGATAGCCTGACTTATCAGGAAGCCAGGATATACTTAGAACTGCAATAAGGCAGCTCTGGTGGGGGTGGGGAATAGAGCCACAATAAGACAGCTCTGGGGGAGGGGTAGAGCCACAGGAAGACAGCTTTAGAGGCTGGAGCTGCAATAGGACAGCTCAGCCCAGGACAAAAGATGTCCTGACTATCAGGAAGCCAGGCTACCTGAAGCTGGGGTGCATGGGGGATGGTCTCCCCACAGATATAGGAATCCTGCTCCTCTCCTGGAGAGCACCTTCAGCTGAGTTCTGATCTGCTCCCTTACGGGAGAGTCCTAGCAGAGCCATCTGCTTCTTCTCCCACCCAAGATGTTTCTTCTGCTAATATGCTGCTAAAAGGAAGCCCCCTGCTGAAAGGTAGCAATCTCCTCCCGCATAGGCGTTTCTTTTCCCCAGCTGGCCTTGTTCAGCCCCCTTAAGGGGCATCCTAGCAAGGTTCTTCTGCTCTGCTCTGCCTTGTTGAGGCCCCATAGGGAGTGTCTCAGCAAGGTTTTTCACCTCAGTCCTGTAAGGTACAGATGTCCCAGCCAGGTTCTTCTGCTCCTGTTCTGAATCAGCGAATGAAGATCGTCACCCGACTCTTTTGAGAAAGGGATTTATTTGGGAAGGAGTAGTCCAGGAGAGTGGCTGCCTCTGCCACTTAACAGAAGCTCCTAACCTAAAGGCTTGTATAGGGCTTCTTAGGGGAGGAGTTTTCCCAGGGAGAAGGAGGATTGGTTCTTTTTTTCCCTGCTCAGGGAATTGGTCAGTGTACCTGGTCAGGAGCAGAGATGGCTCTGACTTCGTGGCCAAACTGTGTTTCTTTCATTGGTCCTTTTTAGTTTTTTGACTCTAATCTTAGAACCAGGGCATATTTCTTTCACTGGCTCTAATTCTAGGGACAAAGTGTGTTTCTTTGACACAAGCTTCAGAGCCAGGGCACATGTCTTTAGTCTGGGGTTCAGGGATAAAGATGTTTCTCTTCCTGGTCCAGGTCTCCAATACAGGGGTGTGTTTCTTTCTCTGACTCTGGGTTCAGAGTCAGGGTGCTCAGTGATTGTTTGGATTCTGGCTCCAGTTGTCCCTTTTGCCCTACAGAAGGGCTGAAAGCAGGGAGAGGTCCTGAAGGACCAGTGGAGACTTACGGCACTAAAAAGTCTAAGAACTTGAATAATTTCTTCTAATGAGTGTGAGTCTACCATCCTTAATTTTAGCCTCCAAAAAAATGTCCACTGGGGGAAATGGTTACATGATGCTGCTTCCCAGAGACCAGAAACAGGACCACTGCCTCCCTCACAGGACACACTTTGCTGAACATTACTAGATGCAGCCCTCGCCACCCAGCAAACTCTCCAAAGGCCATCTAGGCTCCATTGCTCTCTTCAGCACTGATGAGTTAAGGACATAACACACTTGCAGTTATTTTGTATGTCTTTGTTATTTTGCTGCTGGGGACTGAACCCAGGGTCTCACACATGCTAAGCATGTGGGCTTCTATAAACCCCCCTCTACACTCCCTCTCCCAGCCCAGACCACTTCCTTGTAGGCAGCTGACCCTTGGTGACTGCTTTGCTTTAGTTTTTGAACTTTAAGTAAATACACTTTAAATATTTAAAGTATTTAAGCAAATACTTAGAGTACATGTGGCTACCTTAACTTTTCTCAATGCCATCTTTTTGAGATACTTGTTGCTGTGGATTGGGTGGTGTGAAAATGCCTCCCTGTGTTCATCCCATTTTATTAGAAAGACTTAGGGTTCCTTCCAACTTGAGGGTAAATGGTTCTTGAATATTCTTGTGTGCACTTCTTGTTTTTTTTGTTGTTGTTGTTGTTTGCTTGTTTTGTTTTTAGGATTCTCATTGCTGTGTCCCAGTACTAGAGATTTTAAATCCGAGTCCTGGAGCCACAAATTAGGTAAGTACTCTGATACAGAGCCATATTGCTGTATCCCCAGTTTGTTCTCCAACTATCTATCTATCTATCTATCTATCTGTCTGTCTGTCTGTCTGTAGTGAGGAGGCAAGCAGGCCTGCTTTTCATCCTGCCTGGCTCCTGCACAGCTTGCTTTACACCCAAAATAACAACACACAAATTGTATTCATTTAAACACTGCCTGGCCCATTAGTTCTAGCCTCTTACTGGCTAACTCTCACATCTTGATTAACCCATTTCTATTAATGCGTGTAGCACCACGAGGTGGTGGCTTACTGGGAATATTCTAACCTACGTCCATCTTGGGGCAGAGCTTCATAGCGTCTCTGCCTGCCTCTGCTTTCTTTCTCCAACAATTCTGTTCTGTCTTCCCCACCTACCTATGTTCTGACCTAGCAGGACAAGCAGTTTTATTTATTAATTGACCAACGAAAGCAACACAGAAAGAAGACCCACCTACATCATCTATCTATCTGTCTGTCTGTCTGTCTATCTATCTATCTATCTATCATCTATCTATGTATCTATCTTATCTATTTATCTATCTTATCTATCTACCTGCCTATCTATTCATCATCTATCTATCCATCCATCCATCCATCAACTCACCCACCTATCTATCTATCTATCTATCTATCTATCTATCTATCTATCTATCTACCTATTCTCCCCTTCTTTTGCTCTTATTTATTGTATTTGCGAGTGTGTGTACCATGCATGGTTCATGTGTGGAGGTCAAAAGGACCACTGCAGTCTATTCCCTCCTCCCCTATGTGGGTACTGGAGGAGGGAGATGGAACTCAGGCTGTCAGGCTTGACAGCAAGCACCATTACCCTCTGAGTCATCTCACTGACCCCTAGCTCTCTTTTAACTTTGCATTGAGGTAGAGTCTCACTGACTTACCCATGTTGCTTCTGAAATCGCTCCATAGCACAAGCAGGCCTAGAAACATGTGATCCTTCTGCCTCAGTGTCTCAAGTGGGCTGGGATGAGAGGCCTCTGCTGCCAGGCCTGGTATGTGTACATTTCTCCGTCTCAGCATAAAGTGGGTTCACTAGGTTATAGGATTTGATGTCTTCAACTTTTTCAATCAATTCAGACCTCCTCTCCCAAGTGGGTTCATGAGTCCTTCTGCTCTGCAGTGTTCAACAGAACCTTTATACTTGGGACCTCAGTTAGTTAAAGTTCAGTCATATTAATGTATGGCTGTATTTCATATGGTTTTGATTGGCAATTCCCTGATTATTAATGTGATAGGTTTCCTTTTCATATACTTATTAGTAATTTGAATACCTCTTGGGGGAAGTGCTGGCTAAGTCTTTTGTCTATTTTCCTATTGGTTTGTCTTTTTTTAAAAAATGAATTTACAGGATATGATTCTATTTTTGGTTATGCTTGTAGCAAACACTGTGTCCTTCATCTGTGCCTATATTTCATCCTATGGTGTCTTCTCATACAGTGAAGACTGTAATTTTAATGGTTCAGGATGTATTCATATTTTTCACCAACTTGATTTCTAAATCTGGAATAAGAACCCTCCTGGCCTCAAAAATATTCCTGTATATCACCTTCTACAGGATTATTATTTCCCGGGACTCAGAATTGAACTTGGGGCCTTAAGAATGCTGGACAAGTGTTATTGCTGCCTTACATTCCCAGACCAGTACTCGTCTCCACAGGCAGCCCAGGCTGGCTTCTAACTGGGTCCTCTGCCCCAGTCTTCTGACTGCTGGGGTTACAGGCATGAGCCCAGGGTCTGGCCTTCTGGAAGTGTTCACTTCACATTTCAAACTAGATCTTTAATTCTCCTGAAAGCAATTTTTATGAATGACCTAAGAGAAAGGACCCATTTCTCCGTGCCTTCAGTTCTGCCTCCACCTCAGTTTCTGTCTCCACCCCAGCTCCACTGTTTCCTGAGTTCATCCTTTCTCCACAGATGAACCATACAACCTCAGGCATCTATCAAGTGTCCACGTGTGTGGGGCCTAAACCTGAGCACTCTGTTTTTGTTCCTTTCCCATTTCCCTGTGCATCTGTTCCTCACTAATACAATTAATTACCCTGTATTGGTCTTGGCAAATCAGGAAGCAAGTCTTCCAAATTCACTTCATCTGCAAGAGCTTCTTGACTCCACTTTGACTTTCCTACTTCTGTGTAAATTGGGATCAGTTTGTTAAGTTTCAGCAAACTGGGGTTTGATTTTATTAGATTCATTTCATAATCAAGCTCAGAGAGAGAATTATCAACTTAGCCATCCAAATATAAGCTTCTCACTTCAGTCGAACATACTTTCCTTTAATATCAGTAATGTTTTATTATGTTTCTAGTGAAGTTTTATGAACTTTTATTAGAATTATTCTTAGACACATGATATTTTATGACACTATAAATTGTACCTTCGAAACATTTGTTTTCTGTTTATTGCTGGGAAATAGAAAAGGCAATATTTAAGAATTGACTTTTGTCTTTGGCAATCTCATCAAACTCTATTAGTTTATCTGTGGACACTGCAGTATAACATCTTCAAATAGTGAGAGCTTCTTGCTGTGGAACAATGGTCTGTACCCTCTCACTGATTGACCAGTAGCCAGGCAGGAAGTATAAGTGGGGCAACCAAAATGGAAGAATTTTAGGAAGAGGAAAGGCTGAGTCTGCAGTTGTCACCCAGGTGCAGAGGAAGCAAGATGAGAATGCCTCGCTGATTAAAGGTACCAAGCCACATGGCTAACACAGACAAGAATTATGGGCTAATTTAAGATGTAACAAAGAGTTAATAAGAAGCCTGAGCTAATAGGTCAATCAGTTTATGACTAATGTAGACCTCTATATGTTTTTTTGGGACTGAATGACTGTGGAACCAGGCAGGACAGAAATCTCTGTCAACAGTTTCCTTTCTTGATTTTCAGAGCGTATTCCTTTTATTTCTTTTTCCCATTTGCTAAGATGCCTTAAAGTCTTCAGTATAAAACACTGCAGGTGATTGGATTTGAATCAATATTTTGAAGGCCCAGTACGCTGGCTGACTGGCTACTTTATGTTAGCAAGACACAAGCTATAATTATCTAAGAGGAGGGAATCTTGATTGAGAAAATGCCTCCATAAGGTCAGGCTATAGGCAAGCCTGCATATGTTATAAGGAGGCCACGTGTTGGTTCCTGGCCACTTAGCCCCAAAATAGTCACACAGAAACTATATTATTTAAATCACTACTTGACCCATTAGCTCTAACTTCTTATTGGATAACTCTTACATCTTAATTTAACCCATCTCCATTAATCTGTGTATCGCCACGTGGTTGTGACTTACCGGGTAAAGTTCCCAGTGTCTGTCTCTGGCAGGGGCTACATGGCTTCTCCCTGACTACGCCTTCTCTCTCCAAGCATTCACCTTAGTCCCCACCCCTGCCACGCCTAGCTCTATTCCCCTATAGCTCTGCTATAGGTCAAAAGCAGTTCCTTTATTACAGAGTGGAATCCCACATCGTGCAGAGAATTTTCTTAATTAGTCGTCAATGGGGGAGGGCCCAACCCAAAAATTGTGGACAGTGCCATCATGGGCTGGTGGTCTTGGGTTCTATAAGCAAGCAAGCTGAGCAAGCTCTGTGGAGCAAGCCATTAAGAAGCTCCCCTCCATGGCCTCTGCATCAGCTCCTGTCTCCAGGTTCCTGCCCTGTTCGAACTCCTGTCCTGACTTCTTTCAATAATGAACAGTAATGTGAAATCTTAAGCCAAATGAACCCTTTCTTCCCCGAGTGGCACAGCTGTGGTGTGTCACCGCAGCCACAGTAGCCCTAACTAAGACATCAAGACAACAGGGTTTGCTGACTGGTTGTATTTGGGGTGTGAGAGAAAGCCTAGAATCAAGGTTAAGTTCAAAGTTTTGGGGCCAAAAGCACACCATGGCTGAGAACTGCAGGTGTGGTCAGTGGCTAACCATGCCAGTGCCACTAGTTAAATGAAGGAAGACCAAGGTATTGACCAAGAATGAATGTAGTGATCTTCCCCAAGGATGACCCGAACAGCGCAGTTTTCACTTTTGCAATCACTCTTTTGTGAGAATTTAAACACACACAAATGTTCAAAAACAGAGTTCCATGCCTGGCTTCTAGGTTGGTCACTGCCCTCTACAGGAGGCTTCTCCAATCATAAACTTTATTCCCTCTAAAATTCAACCCAAAATCTATGGGGTCATTTCTCCTCAAGATTTCACCACTCATCCTGTTCCTGCTTCACACACACACACACACACATTTTGTCTCTTTCTCTAGGTCAAATATCTAAAGAAGCTCCTACTAGGAAATTTAGTCCCTGCAATGTGTTTACAAGTGACCTTTCCAGAAGATGCCATCGAAATGTCAACTGTGTCTATGTTCCCGTCTTAGTTAGGGTTTCTATTGCTGTAAAGAGATAATGGTGTGGGAAGTCCTTCTGTGTGTTGCTTTTATTGGTTAATGAATAAAGAATCTGCCTTGGCCTGTGATAGGGTAGAGTAGAGCTAGGCAGGGGAAACTAAACAGAATGCTGGGAGAAAGAAGGTGGAGTCAGGGAGATGCCATGGAGCCGCCAGAGGAGAAAGACGTAAGCTGCCAGCAGGAAACTTACTGGTAGACAGTTTCTGTGTGATTATTTCAGGAGTCTGGGTGACCAGGAAACAAACAAGCAGCCTCCTACAATAAGACACCATGACCGCAGCAACTCTTAGAAAGGAAACCCATTTCATTGGGGCAGCTTACAGTTTCAGAGGTTTGTCCACTATCATCATGGTGCAACATGGTGGTACGCAGGCAGAGAGGGTGCTGAGAAGTTGCCAAGTGTCCGACATCTTGACTTGCAGGCAACAGAAAGCATCTGAGACACTGGGTGTGGCTTGAGCACACGGGAGACCTCAAAGCCTGGCTCCACAGTGATAAACTTCCTCCAGTAAGACTGGCCCTACCTATTCCAACAAAGTCACACCTCCTATTAGTGCCCCTCCCTTTGCAGACCATTTCCTTCCAAACCAACACAGTCTCTACAGGGTTCATCTAAAAGCAAAACGAAGAACACCACTAGAGTGTGTCTACTACAGAAGAGACCCTGACCATACAGAAAGGCCTCATTTGTTTCATCTGGAATGGCCATGTGGCCATCCCTTCTCACCTAGCAACAAACCCTTAAATGTCCCACCCCCAAGAAGCAAATTATAAAACCTGTATATTTTTATTTACTCTTCTCTCATCATTACATTCTGACCACAGTTTCTCCTCCTTCCACTCCTCCAAGTCCTCCCTCCACCTCCCCTCTGCCCCAGATCCACTCCTCCTCCATTTTTCTTCAGAGAAGAGGAGGCCTGGGAACCCTTTTCCTCCTATCAGGTTCCCTCACACACACACACCCCCGCCCATATGAGGTATGTACCTAGTCTTATTGTAACTTGTTATGCCTTACTCGGTTGGTAATCCTGCTCTTTTCTGAAGAGCTATGCATTTAAGTCCAAAGGACTGTAGAAGTCCCACTAGCCTGGCCTCCAGCTTCCTGACATTTATTCCTTGCAGATGTGGGTATTCTGAGGCCACAGTGAACAACTAGTCTCCTGCCCTCTCTCCACTCTTTAACCTTTACCCCATTTCAGAAGACCTAAATTACCCAAGATACCTATTGTACTGTCCATGCCTGCCTACAGTGACACAGCCCGTGCACTAATTTTTGGAAGAATTAACATCTTAAAGGCTTCTTTTAAAATACCCAAAAAGGCGAACTTTCCATCTATGGTAATGAAAAGGCATATATGTTTAAAAACTGACGAGTTGGAAACTAGCATTTGCACCATGTGCAAGTAAGTATGAGAACAGAGAATGGAACTTAAAACCTGACTTCTAGGGACTGAAATTCTAGTGAGGAGGTCTACTGATTTCAAGCTTGTTTTTAATGATTTTTATTCTGTTTTTTTTATTATTACATATATGTTCAGGTCTCTGTGTGAGTACATGCACATCAGTGCCAGTGCCTGAGGAAGCCAGAGGCTCTGGGTTCTCCTGGGGTTGGTGCTGAGACCTCTTCCTCTGTAAAAACAGTATATGCACTAAACGACTAACCATCTCTCCAATCCTTGGGATGCTTTAAAAGTCTTTTTTAAAGGTTTTATACATATATGTTTATATATATATATATATGTATAAACCTCCAAAGCTTCTTATGTAGAATGAACACCATTGATTCTCTACTTTACATGCTTAGTCATACACATTATCAGTATCCTAAGAAAACGACGCATCTGTGCATGTAGTCTGCCTTTTCTCAATATGCATACACATTCATGTTTTCATAGCTGTTATCTTACTCTGAGGCCAGTTTCTCTCTTCCGTTAAGACACCATTTTCAGACAGAGGAAGGGAATGCACCTCACACTGGTCAGCTGTTAGCATTGTGTCAGCTTGCTAGAATGTGTGAAGACAGTTGTCAGTGTGGATCTGTTTCTACAGTGAGCATAATTCCTGATGTTCATGGTTCTGAAAGTAAAGGCTTCTTATACTCCATGTATTTTATCTGAGAAATTTTTATCTGAGAATTTTTTATATAACTCAAGAAATTTTAATAGTTATAAAAATAAAATGCTTAGTAATAATAAATCATAATTTTAAAATTATTTATTATAAATATAATTTTATCATTTATTAAAGATGAGCATAAGACTGGAGAGATGACCCAGGGGCTAAAAGCACTGCCTGATCTTCCAGAGGACCCAGGTTCGATTCCCAGCACCCATATGGCAGCTCATAACTGTCTGTAACTTCAGGTCCAGGGGATCTGATGCCTTCACACAGACATGCATGTAGGCAAAACACCAATGCACATAAAACAAAAATAAATCATTTATAAAAAGAACACAAATATGTATATGAATGAGATAGATTTGCTTATTTATTTTCACATAAAGAATCTAACCTTGGGCTGGAGAGATGACTCAGAAGTTAAGAGCACTGGCTGTTCTTCCAGAGGGCCCTGTTTGAGTCCCAGCACTCAAGTGGTGCCTCACAACCAACTGTAACACCAGTTCCAGGGGATCCACTGCCTTCTTCTCCGGTCCACAGGCAGCAGGCATGCATGTGGTTCACAGATATGCAGACAGGCAAAATGCCCATATAGAAAATTAAATGAAAAACGGAATTAATCTTGACTGACTATTTGATACTACAGGCCAGAGAGCAACATTTTTTAGAGCTGATAAACAGTTCTGTTTTATAATGATCAATATTGAGAATATTGATTTGCATGGTAAAAAAAATAGTAATAAAATAGTAAAAAGAAAATGGCAGAGGCCAGCTTAGGGCTACTTCAGAACTACTGGAAATTTTGTCCTGATCTCAAGACAGAATTCATTTAATGATTTTATTAAATGAAACTCAAGCCCAGTGAGTAAATTTTATAAGCAAACATTCTAACATAATACAATCCAAAGACACGGGAAGTTGATATTTATATTCTGGGGAATGTGAAGCATGAAAAAACTAAATTCCTGTAATTTTTAAAATTGTGTGTGTGTGTGTGTGTGTGTGTGTGTGTGTTTACACGCACGTGTGTGCAGGCATGGGCAGAAACACATGAAGTTGCGTGCCAAGGAGACCCGAGGCTTGAAGCTGGTGTTAAAAGGGACTGTGAGCTGTCCTCAGTGGGTGCTGGGAACCAAACTTGGAACCTCTGGGAGAACAGGAAGTGCTTCTAACTGCTGAGCCATCTTTCCAGACCCAGGGTCTTTGTTTTCTATAATTAACCGTATGTTTCCATGAGAAAAGCAGCTAACTCTATACGATAAAAATACCGCAGTTCACAGTGTGTACCGGCCTCCTCACAGTGATGCATGCATTCACACAGCATGCATTCGTACTGTGGCTGAGACAGCATAAACAGTACCAAGTGTTCTCAGAACCGGGGTCCAGGGTGCAGTGAAGTCAAACTGAACAACGTGGGCAAACACGGCCAGAGACACCTCAGAGTCAAGAAGAATTTGTTCTTTTCGATTGGTCATTGCACATTCAGAAACCTGACAAAGGCGAGTGTATCCCAGCTGCAGCCGCTGAGAGTGGGAGGAGCAATTAACAGTTCAAGAGTGAAGATTGAAAAGTGGTGAAGACGAGAGAGCTGAGAAGGAAAAAAGGCAAGGAGGAGCCAGAGAACTGCTCCCTGCAGCTGCTAGAGTTGAGTTTGGGTCTGTCAGGTCTTCAGTACCAGGAGTCTCAGACAGACACCATGCTGTGGGAGCACTTTCTGCTCCTTCCGCCAATAGCCTTTAAGATACCAGCCCACTTGGGCGTGGTCTCTTATGGTTTTAAAAAGCAGAAGGTTCCGGCTCAGGTTTGGCTGCTAGACTCTGTTCCTGTTTGCGCTCAGAGGACTGTTGTTTAGGTCGGTGATGGTGATCTGTGAGTTTTCCCCTTAAATAAATAACCCTTTTATTATCCTAATTCTGGACTGGTGTGGTTTTACGGCATCAACACCACACTGAGAACATTAACACCGCTGTTGCCAAGGGCCCATGGGCCTCCATAGCCAAGACCTGCATAAGACTGTCACGTGAGGTGCCACTGCCACGGCTTCTGCTTCTGCTGCCATCACTCCTCAAGGACAGACACTGAGGGAAAACTAGAAGTGCTAGAGATCTGAACTAAAAGGGCTTCTTGCCTGCTGGGACTCCTCAGCCGGTAGTGATTTTAATATCTGCTGTGTAACAGAGAATCTTAGATTCTCTAAGATTAAACATTCCCTCCTGCAGGGAGTCCCTTAAGTCGAAAAGCAAACACCTCAAAACAGCTTCAGGAAGTTCCTCAAACCGACCAGATTCACCAGGCCCCTCCCTGCCAGAGTAAGGAATAAAAACTGAGAGTCCTGAGTTCAAAGCAGACTCTCAAAGGAGAGAAGCCGCAAAGACACTGAGACCGGACCAGCTGCCTGGCAGAAGCAGGAACCACCCGAGCCCCTGGTAGAAGTTTAGACCAACAGAGGTGCCTGGAGAGAACTCTCTCCAACCCATTGATCTGCCTTCAGGCTGTGCAGGGGATCCAGGTACCCAGCTTTGTGAGCTGTCACCCATGCTGGGGTGGGCTTTGGTGATGCAGCTGTCTCTGAGTCATTTTCTGCTCTGTAAGTAACCTTTCACCCAATAAAACTCATTGGTTCACCGAGTTGGACTCTGGTGGTGTCCATACGTTGGTCCATCAGGAATTCCCTAACTGGGGTGAGTAGATGGTGTTGTGTCTTCCCAGGGAAACTTTTGTCACCCAACACTGAAGGGACACTAGCCAGCTTTAACATAGTTGACATGGCTCTGGCAGGCCTTGCCCTTCTCCCCATTTCCTCTGCCTTGCTATAATAATAATAATAATAATAATAATAATAATAATAATAATAATAATAAATAAAAACAACAAAAACAAACAAACAAAAAACATTATATTACACTCCCAAAGCTAGCCACCAGGGTCTATTCCTGTATTTGGCCACATCATCCTCCTGAGGCTGACTACCAAGGTCCAGCTATCAAAGTATTGACATCCAGCAACCCAAATCCCTCTTTGATTCAACAAATCAGCATGTCCTATTAAAATTAAATACCTTATCCTTACACAGGGTTCCCCTTTTATCTTTATAAACAGCCATTTTCCTATGGGCCACACCTGTCTCCTCTCTATTCAGAGGCAGTCCTTTGTTCCTCTGAGACAAAAATTCTGTCCTCTCTCCTTTTTACCCTTCTCTCTAGTCCTTTGTGTCTCGTCTTTGTCTCTTATTCCCTACCCTTGGTCCCTCTGGGGCAAATAAATCTCCTTTGTTCTGAGAACTTGGTCTTGAGGGGTGTCCTGAGCCAACACTATCACAGACAGCTTTCTGTCTGTATAGACCTCATAATTATGCCAACAGCTGCATGGCATCCTATTGATACCATGTCAGTGAGGGCTGGAGAGATGGCTCAATGGTTAAAAAAATACTACTCTTGCCAAGGATGAGAATTTGCTTTTGGATTAGAAGTACTACTTTTTTGTTGCTGTGATAAAACACAGTGATCAAAATCAACTTATGGAAGAGATCATTCGGCTCACGGTTCCAGAGGGAGAGTCCATGTCAGAGAGGTATGGTAGCAGGTGGCTGAAGCTGGAAGCTGAGTGTCCTGGTTGTTTGTGTTTGTCTGTTTTGTTGACACAAGCTTGTTATATATCTGGGAAGAGGAGACTCAATAAAATCCCTCTAACATATTGCCTGTAGGGCATTTTCTTTATTTTCAGTTGTTGATGTAGGTGGGCCCAGCCCACAGGGGACTCCTGGCCAGGGGGTCCTGAGTTGTGTATGAAAGGTTGAGCAAGTCAGAAGGAGCAAGCCAGTAAGCAGCATTCTTCCATGGCTTCTGTTTTAGTTCCCATCTCCCTCCAGCTTCCTGCCTTGACTTCCCTCGATGGTGGACTGTGATGTGGAAATTGAGCTGAAATAAACCCTTTCCTCCCCACATTGCTTTTAGCCAAGGTGTTTTATCACCTTAGTAGAATGCTAACTAAGACGCCATGAGGTCACACCTTCTGTTACAAACACAGAGCAGAAAGTGTGACATGGAAATGGGGTAAGACTATAAACTCTCAGAAGCCTGCCCGCAGTGACATATTTTCTCCAGGAAGACTCCATGTTGTAAAGGTTCCACAGCCTCTCCCAAAGAGCACCAACCAGGGACCAAATGCTCAAATACATGAGTCTAGGAGGAAAATTCTTCATTCATACCACCACAGGCCCACAGCTCACAAATACCTGTAACTCCAGCTCCAGGGGATCTAACATAGTTTGTGAACTCTGAGGGCACTTGTACTCACATCTGCACACACACACACACACACACACACACACACACACACACTTTCTCTCTCTAAAAATAACATTTTTAGAAACATTTTAAGAGAAACGTTTTAAGAGAAAAAAAAGTGAGTGTATCATAATTTGGCTAAACACATCAAGGTGTATTCAAGGTGTTTCCATTTTTCTGTTGGAAATAAGGTTGTGATAAAGATCTGTATGATAGAGGTGCAGTTGGATGCCGGTTGCTTCTTCCTTTGTGAGTAGCCTGTGATACTTGAAAGACCACCAAGCACCTGTCAATAGGGAACCAGGTCTTCATCCAACACCATAGTGTCTTTCGTTGATAACTGAAAGACAGCATCAGGGCAAGAGCCAGATTCTTGAAGAGAAGAATGTGAAGACCTGTGGTCCCCTTCCCCTAGGACTCAAGCCAATGAGTATCTACAGGTCTTCCAAATCTTCCATTTTCATTACAGCAGCAAAGGCAGCAGACATAGCAGGTGGCTACTTCTCTGTCAGTCAGGTTAAGACTTATTATCCATAGAACCGAACAGCATTGTGGAGCAAGCAGATGGGTAAACAAGCTCACGTCCATGGAGAATATTACTCTGCTTTTCCACTCCACGGTCGAGTTTGCTGGAGCAGCTGCAGCCCACAGTTGGCAATGCCTAGAATTGCATCACCAAGGCCCTTCCAGAGGTCAGTCCTGAGTTTGCACAGTGATCCCCATCTGGAGCACACAGATGAATCTGTCTGCCCCTGGTGGCCCAGTGTGGTACTAACATCCTTCAGAACCTTATTCTTGGGGGACGCTTTGGAAATCCAGGCAAGAATTCAGCCTGGACTTGAACCAAAATTTCTCTTTACACCTTTTCTCAACAGTAATCCTAGCAGTCCAAGTTTACCGATACCTGGGCTGGCGAGAACCTGACCACGAGAGTTGGATTCCACGTGCCTCACGGTGGAAGGAGAGAACCAGTTCCCCCAAGCTATCTTAGGATTCCAATCACACATCTTGGTATGTTCCCACTCCACTAAATAAGTAAATAAGTGCAATTTATTTTTTAAAAG